GTTATCCACCCGCCTCAGCCTCCCAACGTGCCGGGATTACAGGCGTGAGCCACCGGCGCCCGGCCTGTTGTTGTTTTTTGAGACAGAGTCTCACTCTGTCGCCAGGCTGGAGTGCAGTGGTATGATCTCAGCTCACTACTAACCTCTGCCTCCTGGGTTCAAGTGATTCTCCTGCCTCAGCCTCCCGAGTAGCTGGGATTACAGGCATGCGCCACCAGGCCCAGCTAATTTTGTATTTTTAGTAGAGACGGGGTTTCTCCATGTTGGTCAGGCTCGTCTTGAACTCCCGACCTCAAGTGATCTGCCTGCCTCTGCCTCCCAAAGTGCTGGGATTACAGGCGTGAGCCACCGCACCCGGCCGGCTTTTGAACTATATCAACCCTGAAGGGGTGAGATTCTTAGAATGACAGTTCAGAGACGGCCAGGAGAGTAGGGGAGATGGAAACACATGCTACTAATAGTAAGGCTCAGCTTCGATTGCCCAGCCCTGGGAAAGCCTTTCTCTTCAGGGCACTTGATCCCACGGAAACTTGGCAGTTGGAGCTTTAAAAGGAAAGGGAGAGGGAAATGAAAGAGAGAGGGTTCTGTCAGGGAGCTGCTCGGTTTTAACAAAAGGGGCCATTCCCATGGCACAAGCACAACCCTTCTCTCTGTTATCAGGAGACCATGTTGAGATTACCCTGAATTCACCTAAAGTGATGCTGACTCTTCATGATGTTCCCAATGATTCCTGAATCTCATGATGCCCAGAAGCCGGTCTCCCCATGGCCATGGCACTCTCAGAGGATGTTTGGTGACTGGACCTTGTGTTCTGTGGTTGTTTCCACTGTCTCCACCTCTTAGATTTGGTCCTCTTGCTAGGCCATAGGGTGTGGGCCTGACCCAGTGCAGTAAAGTCCAGGGCACCTTGGCCTAGGTGCTAACTCCTTCAAAGTTTCTGCTTTATTTCCACAGCTGCGCGTTTCCAGCCTGCACTGTGCATGCTGGGTGGGAGAGGGCAGCTTGAATGCAATAACTGCACCTAGCACAGTTGTCAAGACTCTTTCTTTACTACCATGAAGGAAACCACATTTAAAAATGTGTCCCCTTATGTATCCTCTGGGCATTACATATAGTTCTGTCATCAAAGGTAAGAATGATTTTGACCCCAGTGCCTGGTACAGAGTAAGTGCTCAGTAATGCCAGTTAGCTATTATTACAGCTATTACCACAACCTCTAAAAAGAAATGCTCGGCTGGGCACAATATCTTATGCCTGTAATCCCAGCACTTTAGGAGGCCAAAACAGGAGGATCATTTGACCCCTGAGTTTGAGACCAGCCTGGGCAATGTGGCGAGACCTTGTCTTTACAAAAAGAAAATTTTTTAATTAGCTGGGCCTGGTGGCATGTGCCTATAGTCTCAGCTACTTGGGAGAGGAAGACAGGAGGATCACTTGAGCCCAGGAGTTCAAAGTTACAGTGAGCCATGATCACACCATTCCAGCCTGGGCGACAGAGGAAGACCTTGTCTCTAAAAAATAAAACAAAAACAAAAACAAAGAAACCCTGGATGCAGTGGCTCACGCCTGTAATCCCAGCATTTTGGGAGGCTGAAGCAGGCAGATTGCTTGAGCCCAGGAGTTCAAGACCAACCTCAGTAACATAATGAGACCTTGTCTCTACTAAAAATTTAGAAAATTAGCCAGGCATGGTGGCATGCCCCTGTAGTGCCAGCTACTTAGGAGGATGAGGTGGGAGGACTGCATGAGCCCAGGAGGTCAAGGCTGCAGTGAGCTATGATCATGCCACTGTACTACAGCCTGGGAGGCAGAGCAGGAACACTTAACCATCTCATAGATAATTAGATTAGTCTTCTTCCAGGGACCTAAAGAGGAAAGTGATAAAGTGAACATAAAAGCAGTTTGAAAAGTAAGTGACAGAAGCATGAAAAGTATCCTGTTTTTTTTTGTTGTTGTTTGTTTGTTTGTTTTTGTTTTTTTTGAGATGAGTCTCACTCAGTCACCCAGGCTGGAGTGCAGTGGCACGATCTCGGCTCACTGCAACCTCCGCCTCCTGGATTCACGCCATTCTCCCGCCTCAGCCTCCTGAGTAGCTGGGACTACAGGTGCCCGCCACCACGCCCAGCTAATTTTTTGTACCTTTTGTAGAGACCCCGCCCAGCCGAAAAGTATCATTTTTAAATTAGTTCTTACTTGGATTCCATCGTTGAGCACAAAACAGTAATCTGGTTCAGGATAGAAATATAAACATTAGGCCTGGTGTCATGGCTCACATCTGTAATCCCAGCACTTTGGGAGGCCAAGGCGGGTGGATCAGCAGGTCAGGAGTTCGAGACCAGCCTGGCCAACATGATAAAACCCATCCCTACCAAATATATAAAAAATTAGCCAGGTGTGGTGGCACGCACCTGTAATCCCAGCTACTCAGAAGGCTGAGGCAGAAGAATTGCTTGAATCTGGGAGGTGGAAGTTGCAGTGAGCCGAGAGATCACGCCACTGCACTCCAGCCTGGGCAACAGAGCAAGACTCCATCTCAAAAAAAAAAAAAAAAGAAACAGAAATATAAACATTAGGCCAGGCGCATGGCTCATGCCTGTAATCCCAACACTGGGAGGCCGAGGCGGGTGGATCACTTGAGTCAGGAGTTTGAGACCAGCCTGGCCAACATGGTGAAACCCTGTCTCTACTAAAAATACAAAAATTAGCCAGGCGTGGTGGCACATAACTGTAGGCCCAGCTACTTGGGAGCAGAGGTGAGAGAATCTCTTGAACCCAGGAGACGGGTTACAGTGAGCCAAGATCGCACCACTGCACTCTAGTTTGGGCAACAGAGCAAGACTCCATCTCAGAAAAAGAAAGAAAGAAAAAGTAATATAAACCATTCATCATTAAAAGACTCTAGTTGAATTATGGCATTCTGTTGTTAAAATTCTTCCATTACCCACCACTTCTGTTGATTTTGTCAACATGGTAATACATTGAGGGTCATGGTAACTTTAACGTCACAGGATCCTAAAATGTCTTCTGAATTATTAAAAAGTTTGTGTGTGTGTGGCCGGGCGCGGTGGCTCAAGCCTGTAATCCCAGCACTTTGGGAGGCCGAGGCGGGTGGATCACAAGGTCAGAAGATCGAGACTATCCTGGCTAACATGGTGAAACCCCGTCTCTACTAAAAATACAAAAAACTAGCCGGGCGTGGTGGCGGGCGCCTGTAGTCTCAGCTACTTGGGAGGCTGAGGCGGGAGAATGGCGTGAACCCAGGAGGCGGAGCTTGCAGTGAGCCGAGATCACGCCACTGCACTCCAGCCTGGGAGACACAGCGAGACTCCGTCTCAAAAAAAACAAAAACAAAAACAAACAAAAAAAAAAAGTTTGTGTGTGTGTGTGTGTGTGTGTGTGTGTGTGTGTGTGTTTGGTGCCATGAACAGTGAGGTTAACTATGTACTTATCTTTTCAAATAAGGGATCTATTAATGACTCTCAAGATAATCCTTCTAACCAGAGTGTTTGCTTGCCTGGGATACCATATTCCCTCACAGATGAGCTCTTCCAGACTCCAGGAGAAAGCATAACTAATCTAAACTTATGTACTTGGTTGGTAGCTATCAGAATAAGAGTACAGGTCTTCTGATTCTCTCTTTTTTTTTTTTTTTTTTTGAGATGGAATTTCACTCTTGTCACCCAGGCTGGAGTCTAGTGACGTGATATTGGCTCACTGCAACCTCCACCTCCCAGGTTCAAGTGATTCTCCTGCCTCAGCCTCTCAGGTAGCTGGGATTACAGGTGCCCACCACCACGTCCGGCTCATTTTTGTATTTTTAGTAGACAGGATTTCGCCATGTTGGCCAGGCTGGTCTCGAACTCCTGACCTCAAGTTATCTGCCCGCCTCAGTCTCCCAAAGGTCTTTTGATTCTTACACAGTGCTTCTTCCTGCAACCTAGCACGCCTTCTCACATAGAGGATGCTGGTAAAGAGCGTGGACTGTGGAGTCAGAAAGATCCAAACCCCAAGAACAACTCCTCCACTCAGTGGCAAGGTGATCCCAGCTTCGGCCTCTGCTTTCTGAACTTCCTCAGATGTAAGATAGGGTTAATACTATGCCTTTGCTCAGTAAATGTTAGCCACTCTTATTAACAGAGGGCTTGCTGTATATGCAGTCACTATGCTTTACAGTTTAAAATAGAAAGACCAAGAGTGAATCCCTTCCCAGACCATTCCAATCCCAGTTCCAGGCTCCTTCATCCATGCAGGATGGTCACCTTTCCTTGGGGACAGCTGGCCTCTTTCTATCACCCCTAATCAACCATTCTATCCTTTTCTTCAGTCCTTGTTGTCGTTTTTATGTTTCTTTTATTCTTTAAGTTAGCCTTATTATTATAATTATTCAAATTATTCTTTGTTTTTTCTTTAATTCATTTGTGTAGAAATGAAATGTTGGAATACAGACTGAGCTTGTAGTTAATAAACAGATGTTGATATAGCTGTGAAAATGGGAACAGAGGCAGTCTATGAATAAATACACTTTTTCCATGAACTCAATCCCAGGACACGGTGGACATTGTCCCTCAAAGTTTTTTTTTTTGCCCTCAGTATGGCACGAGAAAAAGAGAACCAGTAATTCAGGCTGTGTCTGCATGAACAGAGTTCACTTAGAAGCTAGCCAGGAATGCTAAATGTGCTAATAAATGGCTAAACCGATAAGCAACAAAGATATTCTGAACCCAAGTTGATATCATGGCTGAATTCCACTCTGCTCCACTGGTTAGGAACAAGAGTAAAGCGTCAAACCCTGGGAAACAGTCTCTACGTGATCAACCACAGCACGAGCTACACACCACTGATCTGCTCCGAAGTCACTTCAGATAGATGCTGCATTTGGAAAGTTTCAGGGTTCTGTTCTCTCCTCTCCTTCCCAAGGGATGGAGATAGCTCCATTGAAGTTGAGGTGGTGGAGAAGGCATTCAGACAGTCATAAGTGAAAACCCTGTGTTTCTCTACAGGTGGTGACTTTCGATGCAGGGGGAGTAAGTGGCCACAGCAATCACATTGCTCTGTATGCAGCTGTGAGGTATGATTCTCTGGGCGATGGAGGTGGGGGAGGGTTTGTTTGTTTGATTAGGGCTCATGGTTTAAAGTCTAAAGCACTTTCCCACTTGTTATGTGAGCCCATGAAACTCACTGCTGGCTTATCATCTAGCCCTGCTCACTGCATCTCACCATGTCCTCTCTCTGAGAAATCTCTCTCGAGTCCTAGTACGAATGCTCATCTCCTAAACAGCTGAATTTTTTGTATACACTGAATACTGCAAATGGGGTAATTGACTTTATTCATCTCTTTTCTGTGGCCACAGAAATCTTGAGGGCCAAATTTGCAACCCCTGTGGCACATGGACAAGACTTTAAGGAATGAGTGCTGTGAATCAGTGTGCCTCCAGATTTACCATCTTCTTCCCCTTACTCTCACTTCCTTCATGTATTTTATACAACTCTCAAATCTTTGGAGAACGAGGATATACATACATAATATGAAATGCGTTTGTTCTTCACAGTCACCTGATTTTACTGATATTTATTTACATTTTACCAGTAAAAATAAAATGCAAGCTCAAAGATATGGAGTGACATAGAGTCATAGAAACATAGATGTGTTTCCTGTCCCCTAGCAAAGTGCTTCTCCTGGGCCCCTGATCAGCGGTGTGGCAGGCCTGTCCCAGCTACTGAGGAAGGAAAGGAGCAACTTGAAGGGAAGGACTTATTTGATAACCTTCTTCTAAACATGCTTAACACTCAGACTGAAGCAATGCAATATGTAAAGTTGGAAATGACCTCACCAACCATTAAGTCCAGCCACCTCATTTTACTGAGGCTGGGATGTGGTTTGCCCAGCACTACAAGGTTAAACTATGGCAGAGGCAGAATTCAGGAATCCTAGTTCTCCATTCATTATTCTCTCAGATGTATGTGAAGACCAATCCAAACTGAAGACCCTCCTTGTCCTTAAATTTTACATCACTTGGTGGAAGATGCTATAGTTTTACCCACATACTCTTTCTAGGCAGCTTTCCCTGTTTCCTTGACTGTGGAATGAGGGGAGGCTGGACTGTTCTCCCGTGAAGGCTATTCAGTTCCTGGTCCAGCCAGCGGCCACAGCTTTAGAGGAGACATGCTGCTAGTCACATTAGGTCCCTTCAGATTCAGGAAAGGAACATTCCCTGGTTAGTCTGAAATACAAATTTTTTTGATGATATATGGAAAAATGAGGCAGACTCGGAGTGGTCTTTCCAACCACATGGTTACTCTGAGGCCTTGAGCTTCCAAGACTAGCATGGACAGCAAGCCCCATGGAGAACTGGAAAAATGGTCTCACCTCATTCTGGATGCACACTGAGCCTGGTGATTTCTCACCAAGAATTTACGCTGCACCAGAGAAAGGATCAGGTCAGGTCTGTTGCAAACATACTAAGAGTACCTCCACAGGCAGGGGGCTGGGGCACTTGAGATTGAGTCACCTGGTCCCATTCCTGGTCCAGTCATCACTGAAGTGGGGAAAAGCAGAGAAGGCATCATTCTGGATGGAAAGAACCCAAGGAGACAACTCTGTGTAGATAGAACTGCCTGGGACCATTTTCCTCAGAAGAGGCTGGAGTGCCACAGGCTCTCAGCACGAAGGTGGGCCACTGTGCTTCAGATAAAACAATTCATGGACATGCCACCAATCTTCTAAAACCTTTTTCCCCACAGTCATCTCTTGCCTGCTAAATTCATTAGACTCACCTTAGCCCTCAGCCATCTTCAACTTTCTGTGGCATTTGGCCCTGCATGTCCCTCACTGCAATGCTGCTTTGGCTTATATGGCACCAGCTTGCCCTCCTCACTCTGGCCTTTCTGGCTACTTCTCAGTCTCTTCCTGGCTTCCCTCCCACCAGTGGCCCCTTGATCCCCCTGTCCCCAAGACTCGCTCCCCAGGCCTCCTCAGCACAGCTTCCCCTGTGGCTTTAAGGACTATAAGCTCTATTTCCAGACAGGTGCCTCCAGCTCACTGCTTTCCCTGGTTATCAGAATATCCACAGGGCTTTGCCCAGAGAACAGAACAAGCCACTTCATTCTCAGGATCCCAGAAATCTTTTTCAGGTTTTTCTTTTCTTTCTTTTTTTTTTTTTTTTAAGACAGAGTCTCGCTCTGTCACCCAGGCTGGAGGGCAGTGGCGTGATCTCGGCTCACTGCAGCCTCCGCCTCCTGGGTTCAAGCGATTCTCCTGCTTCAGCCTCCTGAGTAGCTGGGACTACCAGTGCATGCCACCACACCTGGCTATTGTATTTTTATTAGAGATGGAGTTTCACCATGTTGGCCAGGCTGAGTTGAACTCCTGACCTCGTGATCCACCGACCTCGGCCTCCCAAAGTGCTAGGTTTACAGGTGTGAGCCACCGCGCCTGGCTCCTTTTTCAGGTTTTTCTACCTCTCAGGCTCTGCCAGGCAGTCAGTTCCATGAGTTTGTCAATTCTCTCTCAACTTCTCTTCTTTAACCCCTGTTCCCAAGAGTCTCTGTTCATATAAGTATGTGTGTCTATGTTGCCGGGGCTACCTTCCCAATCCTTCTCTGCCCCCAGATTTCTAAACAACAAAGTAGGGAAGAGACTTGGAGCTCATTGTAGTTGACACTCTCCTCCTCTTAAGGTGGTGAGCACAGAATGACCTTCACTGTCAGAAGGTAGGTGTGGGGGAGCTCAGAAAGGAGAAAGGAAATATCAGGGAAGAGCTATCAGCATTGTAAAATATTCCCCCATCATACTCCCATTACAATTTCAAGAGGAAAACTATGAAGAGTCCAGCACAGTTATCTTCATTCTCTAATGGGCAAAGCTTAGACCAGGGTACTTCACAAGCCACAGACCAGCCTCTGGATTGGCTGTCCCTGGCTCAGGTACCCATCCGGATCCCTTCAGCTGTTGCCAGAGGTATGGGATCCTGGAAATCTATGCAGTGATTTATGCAAAAGAAACCACCTGGAAACTCACATGGAGGGGGACCATGGGCATGGCAGGCTTTCCTCTGAAGGCCCCTCCTATTACCTACAAAGGAAATGATTCTTATGCGTCTCACTCTTGTCCTTTCCCTCCTCCAGGGCCCTGCACTCAGAAGGGAAGTTACCTAAAGGTAAGGCTTGTTCCTTTTGCAAAGGGCCACAATATACTGTCCTTCTGAGAAACTTATGAGAGGGAAATTTGCAAATCCATGGAGAGCTGCCCTCAGCCGAGCAGAGGCAGTGGTTGGGGAGGCCGCCAAGCTCTTCCTCACTCACCTCAGGGTACCTGGCAAATTGTATCTGCCAGCAAGTGCTTGCCTGCAGGGCCACCTCTGGATGAGTGGGGAGGCCAGGTTTGCCCCTCACCTGTCTAGCTTTTTCACAGGGTGGATGTTTTACACCTCTGGTATTCTTCCAGTCTGAACTCAATCCCATCCCCCCACCAATTAGGCAGGTTGTAAATGACTGCTGGATGCTTGATGGATCAATCTGCCTTAGTCAGGAACTCTCCCTAACCCACAGGAAGTATTTGACCTCACCTGACCATTTACTGCATGACCCCCATGCTTATCCTCTCTGGGCCAGTTTCTGGGGTGGTCTGTCATACCTCATAGGAGCGATATGAAGATTCAATGAATGAAAACATAAGTAGGTTATGCCCTTTCTGTGTGGGATGACTGAAAAGAGCTTACCAAGCCATGATGTCTTTGGTACATGACTATAGTTTGTTTGATTCTCTTTTTTTTTTTTGAGATGGAGTTTCGCTCTTGTTGCCCAGGCTAGAGTGCAATGGAGGATCTTGGCTCACTGCAACCTCCACCTCCTGGGTTCAGGCCATTCTCCTGCCTCACCCTCCCCAGTAGCTGGGATTACAGACATGCACCACCATCCCTGGCTAATTTTTTTTTTTTTTTGCAATTTTAGATGGAGTTTCTCCATGTTGGTCAGGCTGGTCTTGAACTCCTGACCTCAGGTGATCCACCCGCCTCGGCCTCCCAAAGTGCTAGGATTACAGGCATGAGCCACTGCACCCAGCCATTTGATTCTTATATCAATCCTGTGAGACGGGCAGGTCTCACACTATCAACACAATTTTACAGATTAGAAAACTGAGACTCAGGCTGGGTACGGTGGCTCACACCTGTAATACCAGCACTTTGGGAGGCCCAGGCGGGTGGATCACGAGGTCAGGAGATCGAGACCATCCTGACTAACACGGTGAAACCCTGTCTCTACTAAAAAATACAAAAAATTAGCCAGGCATGGTGGCGGGCGCCTGCAGTCCCAGCTACTTGGAAGGCTGAGGCAGGAGAATGGCATGAACCCGGGAGGTGGAGCTTGCAGTGAGCCAAGATCATGCCACTGCACTCCAGTCTAGGCAACAGAGCGAGACTCCATCTAAAAAAAAACAAAAACAAACAAAAATACCTGAGTCTCAGGGAGGTTAAAGGACTTTGCCAACCCTGTCAGTTTTTGACTGACAGAGCTAGGACCGGGTCTCTAACCTTCCAATACAGTAATTCCTGTCTCCTTCACCTTTCCTTTGGCTTTGAGGTAGCCAGATCTCAACCTCTAGCAACCAACCTTTTTTTGGTAGGGCACACGGCAGGGTAGAGGGTAGCCAGCCAGGTCTTCTGTGGCCCTTTTACTCATTCTAGCTGCAAGAATGATGGGCACAGAGCAGCTTTGGTGCCACAGAAACACCTGGCAATGCTGTGGCCACTGTCCTGCCCTGCCCTGAGCCACAGGGTAGAGGGAGGACGCTCAGGAGAAAATCTGGCTGGAGACCTCAAGGCTCATCACTTCTCCCTGTCTCCTTTCCAACCAGGGTGTTCTGTGCTCACACTTCAGTCTGTGAATGTGCTGCGCAAGTACATCTCCCTTCTGGATTTGCCCTTGTCTCGGCTTCATACTCAGGATGTCCTCTTTGTGCTCAACAGCAAAGAAGTGGCACAGGCCAAGGTGAGGATTGTAAATTCCTGGACACCCCAACTCAGATCTCTGCCCCAGACCCCTTGTCTCCTCAAAGCCCCACCTCTGCAGAAGCCCTAATTGAAGGCCTTCCACAGTGGTTCAGCATCTGTCCCTGAGAGTTAGGACTAGGCCAGCTAGATCTTGAGAGGCATAGATTTTTCAATGACTTTAGCCTTTTTTTCTAATTATAAAAATAATATATGCTTTTTCTAAAACTAAGTAACACATGCTCATTGCAGAAAATTTTGAAAAACATAAAAGCATCAAAAAGAAAATAAAAATAGGAACAATTACCTGCAGCCCCACCAATCACAGGTAATCCTTGTTAACATGTTGGGCTACATCTTTCTACTCTTTTTTTTTTTTTGAGACGGAGTTTTGCTCTTGTCGCCCAAGCTGCAGTGCAGTGGCACAATCTCAGCTCACTGCAACCTCCGCCTCCCGGGTTCAAGCGATTCTCCTGCCTCAGCCTCCTGAGTAGCTGGGATAACAGGCACCCGCCCCCACACCTGGCTAATTTTTTGTATTTTTAGTAGAGCTGGGGTTTCATCATGTTGGCCAGGCTGGTCTCAACCTCCTGATCTCAGGTGATCCGGCCACCTTGACCTCCCAAAATGCAGGGATTACAGGCGTGAGCCACTGCGCCCGGCCCTACTCTTTATATATTTATGGTGTGTAGGTGTAAACGCATTTCAGATGGGATCACACAGTGTCTATTTAAAACCTGCTTCGGCCGGGCGCGGTGGCTCACGCCTGTAATCGCAGCATTTTGGGAGGCTGAGGCGGGCAAATTACGAGGTCAGGGGTTCGAGACCATCCTGGCCAACATGTTGAAACCCCGTCTTTACTAAAGCTACAAAAATTAGCCGAGCATAGTGGCATGCACCTGTAGTCCCAGCTACTCGGGAAGCTGAGGCAGAAGAATCGCTTGAACCTGGGAGGCAGAGGTTGCAGTGAGCTGGGATCACACCACTGCACTCCAGCCCGGGCGACAGAGCTGATTCTGTCTAAAAAAAAAAAAAAAACCTGCTTTAACAATATGTTATGGGTTGGGCACAGTGGCATATGCCTGTAATCCAAGTACTTTGGGAGGCCAGGGTGGGCGGACTGCTTGCTGGGCAACAGAGCAAAACCCATCTCTACAAAAAAATTAGCCAGGCATGGTGGCACATGCCAGTGGTCCCAGCTACTCGGGAAGCTGAGGCAGGAGGTTCACTTGAGCCCAGGAGGTCAAGGTTGCAATGAACCCTGATCACACCATTGCACTCCAGCCTGGGCAACAGAGCCAGACCCTAGCCAAAAAAAAATCAGAACTATTTATTATGAACATTTTCTCCTATTTCATTTAGTATTCAAATAGCAATGGCTGCCAATTACTCCACTGTATGTATATACCATAAGATATATCATGAATCCCTTACTGTTGGACATTTTGATTTGCCATTTTATCACTGTTATACATGGAGCAATGCTCCCAGCTTGAGGTTAAGGAGAATTCAGACCTGCCAGGAGCCTCTGTAAAGAGCCTAGGGGAGGCCAGGCGGGGTGGCTCACGCCTGTAATCCTAGCACTTTGGTGGGCTGAGATGGGCGAATCGTCTGAGTTCAGGAGTTTGAGACCAGCCAACATGGTGAAACCCCGTCTCTACTAAAATACAAAAAAGTTTTTTTTTTTTTTTTGTATTTTTAGATGGAGTTTCTCCATGTTGGTCAGGCTGGTCTTGAACTCCTGACCTCAGGTGATCCACCCGCCTCGGCCTCCCAAAGTGCTAGGATTACAGGCATGAGCCACTGCACCCAGCCATTTGATTCTTATATTAATCCTGTGAGATGGGCAGGTCTCACACTATCAACACAACACGCCCTCCCAGGCGTGGCAGCATACATCTGTAGTCCCGGTTACTCGGTAGGCTGAGGCAGGAGACTTGCTTGAACCCGGGAGGCAGAAGTTGCAGTGAGCTGAGATCACGCCACTGTACTCCAGCCTGGACAACAGAGTGAGACTCCGAGTCTCCGTCTCCAAAAAAACAAAACAAAAAAAAAGAGCCCAGGGCAGACTGCAAGAAGCCTATATGAAGCCTATATGCAGGTTGAGGAAGAGCTAGGCCAGGTCAGGTCATCCTAGGGAAAACTCTTAGCTGTCCATGGAGCAGGTGATTGAGTGCCATCAGAGTTAGGGAGAGGGTGGGCTGAGGAGAATTGTTCCCCAGTTTGTCTCCAGGTGCATCCCCCTGTAGACTTAAGCCCCCCACAGAGAGACGGGTAGCACAATAAGTGAAAGAACCAAGTCGGGGATTGTGGCTCGTGCCTGTAGTCTCAGCTGCTTGAGAGGTTGGGGTGGGAGGATGGCTTGAGCCCAGGAGTTTGTGTCTGCCCTGGGCAACACAGCTTTATTAGGAAGAAGGGAAGGGGAAGGGGAAAGGGAAGGGAGAGAGAGAGGAAGGAAGGGAGAAAGAAAGAGAGAGAGAGAAGGAGAGAGTGAGAGAAAGAAAAGGAAGGAAGGAAGGAAGGAAGGAAGGAAGGAAGGAAGGAAAGAAGGAAGGAAAGAAGGAAGGAAGGAAGCGGGGAGAGAGGAAGGGGAAGGTAAGGAAGGAAGGGAAGGAAGAGAGAGAGGAAGGGAGAAAGAAAGAGAAGGGAGGGAGAGAGAAGGAGAGAGGAAGGAAGGGAGGGAGGGAAGGAAGGAAAGAAGGAAGGGAGAGAAGGAGGGAAGGAAGGAAGGAAACAAGGAAGCGAGGGAAAGAGGGAGAGAGAGAGAGAAAAGGAAGGAAGGAAGGAAAAAAATCTAAGAGAATAGAAGAAACTCAGGATGATTATTTTGGTTTTGGGGTTTTTTTGTTTAGCTTTATTTTCTTTTCTTTTTTTTTTTTTAAGGTTCTCTTTTTTTTTTTTTTTTTTATTATTATCTTAAGTGTAGGTAATGTGCATAACGTGCAGGTTTGTTACATATGTATACTTGTGCCATGTTGGTGTGCTGCACTAGCTTTATTTTCTTTTCTTTTCTTTTTTTTTTTTTTTGAGACGGAGTCTCGCTCTTTCGCCCAGGCTGGAGTGCAGTGGCCGGATCTCAGCTCACTGCAAGCTCCGCCTCCTGGGTTTACGCCATCCTCCTGCCTCAGCCTCCCGAGTAGCTGGGACTACAGGTGCCCGCCACCACGCCCGGCTAGCTTTTTGTATTTTTTAGTAGAGACGGGGTTTCACCGTGTTAGCCAGGACGGTCTCGATCTCCTGACCTCGTGATCCACCCGTCTCGGCCTCCCAAAGTGCTGGGATTACAGGCTTGAGCCACCGTGCCCGGCCTAGCTTTATTTTCTAAATTTTATTTGAGATGGAGTCTTCCTCTGTTACCCAGACTGGAGTGCAGTGGCACAATCTCGGCTCACTGCAACCTCCGCCTCCCAGGTTCAAGTAATTCCGTCTCAGCTTCTCCAGTAACTGGGACTACAGGTGCACACCACCACGCCCAGCTAATTTTTGTATTTTTAATAGAAACAGAGTTTCACCATATTGGTCAGGTTGATCTCGAACTCCTGACCGCAGGTGATCTACCCACCTTGGCCTCCCAAAGTGCTGGGATTACAGGCTAAGCCACCGTGCCTGGCGATTTTTTTTTTTTCTTTTTTAGATGGAGTCTTGCTCTGTCACCCAGGCTGGGGTGCAATGACATGATCTCAGCACACTGCAACCTCTGCCTCCCAAGTTCAAGCGATTCTCTTGCCTCAGGCTCTCGAGTAACTGGGAGTACAGGCACATGCCACCACGCCCAGCTAATTTTTGTATTTTTAGTAGAGGCGGGGTTTCACCAGGTTGGCCAGGCTGGTCTTGAACTCCTGACCTCAGATGATCCACTCACCTCTGCTTCCCAAAGTGCTGGGATTACAGGCGTGAACCACTGCACTGGGCTTGTTTTTTTTTTTCTTCTTTTTTCTTTTTGAGACGTAGTTTCGCTCTTGTTGCCCAGGCTGGAGTGCAATGGTGCGATCTCGGATCACTGCACCCTCCACCTCCTGGGTTCAAGTGATTTTTCTGCATCACACTCCCGAGTAGCTGGGATTACAGGCATGTGCCACCATGCCCAGCTAATTTTGTATTTTTAGTAGACACAGGGTTTCGCCACATTTGTCAGGCTGGTCTTGAACTCCTGACCTCAGGTGATCCATCCGCCTCAGCCTCCCGTAGTGCTGGGATTACAGGCATGAGCCACCGTTCCCAGCCCATATTTTCTGAATTTTCTACAGTAAACCTTTGTACCTAGTAAGAGGCACTTTGCTAGGTACTGAGAATGCAGTGTTGAGCACATATCTTGTTTCTTCGATCGTACATTAGTTTTTGTACTTTATTATTTCTGTCCTACTTTATTTATGGTTTTATTCCCTTCCTTCCTTCCTTCCTTCCTTCCTTCTTTCTGCTCTTTCTTTCTTTCTTTCTGCTGTTATTTTTTTTTTTTAGACAGAGTTTTGCTCTTGTTGCCCAGGCTGGAGTACAATGGTGTGATCTCGGCTCACTTCAACCTTCGCCTCCTGGGTTCAAGTGATTCTCCTGCCTCAGCCTCCTGAGTAGCTGAAATTACAGGCACACACCACCATGCCTGGCTAATTTTGTATTTTTAGTAGAGACAGGGTTTCTCCATGTTGGTCAGGCTGGTCTCGAACTCCCGACCTCAGGTGATCCGCCCACCTCAGCCTCCCAAAGTGCTGGGATTACAGGCATAAATCATCGCACCCAGCCTATTTATTTATTTTTTATTTTTATTTTTTGACACAGTCTTGCTCTGTCGCTGAGGCTGGAGTGCAGTGGAGCGATCTCAGCTCAACACAACCTCCACCTCCTGGGTTCAAGCAATTCTCCTGCCTCAGTCTCCTGAGTAGCTGGAACTACAGGGACCCACTACCGTGTCTGGCTAACTTTTGTATTTTTAGTAGACACTGGGTTTCGCCATGTTGGCCAGGCTGGTCTTGAACTTCTGACCTCAAGTGATCCACCCAGCTCGGCCTCCCAAAGTGCTGGGATTACAGGCATGAGTCACCGCACCCAGCCTGTTCTTTAAATCTCTTTAACTTGAAAGGTTAGTTTTGTTTTCACTTACAATCTTCAAAAAAAAAAACTTTAATACTATTAATTTTCCTTGAAGTGTTTCTTTAGCTACACATGATAAGTTTTGATATGTAGTTCTCCTATTGTCACCTAATTATAAGTAATTTATAGTCTCCATTGTGAGTTCCTCCTTAATCTTTGAGGGTATAGAGTTTACAGACATGTATGTCAATCTTCATTATTTGTAGTTCAATATTTATGAATGCACCTACTCACTAAAATTCATTTGTAACTCCAAAGTCAGTGCTCGAAGTGCTTTTGTGGTCATTCGTGGACACTCGCAGAGGGGTGAAACGTGAGTCACTGGATGCACATATGCATGTTCCCAACTGTTTCAACTCTCCCACTGTAAAAAAATACCTTTTTGTGGTATATTTCATGCCCCATTTTTCTCATTTTTGTGGTTTTTGTTGATTTTGCTGTTTAAAATAGCCTCTAAGAATGATGCTGAACTGCTGTCTTGCATTCCTAAGCACAAGAGGCTGTAATATGCCTTATGTGGGTTTGATCACAAGCATGAGTTACAGTGCAATTGGCCATGAGTTCAGTGCTAATGAATCCACAATATGTATTTCATATGGAGTTTTTAAACAGAAATATACATAAAACAAGGTTATATATTGATGGATGGATGAAACTATTGTGGCCAAAGGCTTGGGGGAACCCAACCCTGTATTTCTGCTAGAAACAATGGTTCAGTATTCACTAATTCAGTGTTCTCAGTGACTTTATAGAACTACCACAAATGAGAATGGCATGGCTATGTGTGTATATGTGGTCTTTTTTTTTTCTTGTTTTTTTTTTTTCTTTGAGACAGAGTTTCACTCTTGTTGCCCATGCTGGTGTGCAATGGTGCGATCTCAGCTCATTGCAACCTCCACCTCCCAGGTTCAAATGATTCTCCTGCCTCAGCCTCCCAAGGAGCTGGGATTACAGGCACGCGCCACCATGCCCGGCTAATTTTCTAATTTTTAGTAGAGACAGGGTTTCTCCATGTTGGTCAGGCTGGTCTCCAACTCCCGACCTCAGGTGATCTGCCCGCCTCGGCCTCCCAAAGTGGTGGGATTACGGGCGTGAGCCACTGTGCTCTGCCGTGTATGTGGTATTTTTATTGTTAATTTATAATTTAATTGCTTTGTAGTCAGTGAATGGTTTTCGTAACACTGATTTTTTTTTTTTTTTGAGGTGGAGTCTTGCTCTGTTGCCCAGGCTGGAGTGTAGTGGTGAGATCTCAGCTCACTGAAACCTCTGCCTCCTGGGTTCGAGTGATTCTCCTGCCTCAGCCTCCTGAGTAGCTGGTATTACAGACAGGCTGACACCACCAAGCCTGGCTAAGTTTTTTGTATTTTTAGTAGAGACGGAGTTTCACTATATTGGCCAAGCTGGTCTTGAACTCCTGACCTGGTCGTCCGCACACCTCAGCCTCCCAAAGTGATGGGATTACAAACATGAGCCACCGCACCCTGCCCAAAGCTGCTATATCTTTTTTTTTTTTTTTTTTTTTTTGAGACGGAGTCTCGCTGTGTTTCCTAGGCTGGAGTGCATTGGCACAATCTCGGCTCAATGTAAGCTCCACCTCCCAGGTTCATGCCATTCTCCTGCCTCAGCCTCCCCAGCAGCTGGGACTACAGGCACCTGCCACCACGCTCGGCTAATTTTTTGTATTTTTAGTAGAGACGGGGTTTCGCCATGTTAGCCAGGATGGTCTCGATCGCCTGACCTTGTGATCCGCCTGCCTCGGCCTCCCAAAGTGCTGGGATTACAGGTGGGAGCCACTGCGCCCAGGCTCTGTCATATCTTTTTAGGAAATTATTTATCTTATTTATTTATTTATTTTGAGACAGAGTTTTGCTCTTGTTGCCCAGGCTGGAATGCGATGATACAATCTCAGCTCACCACAACCGCTGCCTCCTGGGTTCAAGCGATTCCCCTGCCTCAGCCTCCTTAGTAGCTGGAGTTACAGGCATGCACTACCACGCCCAGCTAATTTTGGATTTTTTTTTTTTAGTAGAGATGGGGTTTCACCATGTTGGTCAGGCTGGTCTCAAACTCCTGACCTCAAGTGATCCACCCGCCCCGGGCTCCCAAGGTGCTGAGGTTACAGGCATGAGCCACTGCATCTAACCAATTCCTCTTATTATCTTATAAGTTCCCTCTTTTGTAATGGTTTTCCCTTTATCTTCTATTTTATTTTTATTTATTTATTTTTTTGAGACAGGGTCTCGCTCTGTCGCCAGGCTGGAGTGCAGTGGCGATCTCGGCTCACTGCAATCTCCACTCATTGCAATCTCCACCTCCCGGGTTCAAGCAATTCTCCTGCCTCAGCTTCCCGAGTAGCTGGGATTACAGGCGCCCACCACCACGCCCCACTAATTTTGTATTTTTAGTAGAGACAGAGTTTCTCCATGTTGGTCAGGATGGTCTCGAACTCCCCACCTCAGGTGATCAACCTGCCTTGGTCTCCCAAAGTGCTGCAATTACAGGCATGAGCCACCATGCCCAGCCTTAATTGTTGTATTTTTAGTAGAGATGGGCTTTCACCATGTTGGCCAGGAAGGTCTCGATCTCCTGACCTCGTGATCCGCCCGCCTTGGCCTCCCAAAGTGCTGAGATTACAGGCATGAGCCACCATTCCTGGCCCATATACTAGTTTTCTTTCTTTCTTTTTTTTTTAATTTTAATTTTATTTTGAGACGGAGTCTCATTCTGTCACCAGTCTGGAGTACAGCGGTGCGATCTCGGCTCACTGCAACCTCCGCCTCCTGGGTTCAAGCGATTCTCCTGCCTCAGCCTGCCAAGTAGCTGGGATTATGTGTATGTGCCACCATACCCAGCTAATTTTTATATTTTTAATAGAGACAGGGTTTTGCCATGTTGGCCAAGCTGGTCTCAAACTCCTGACCTCAGATGATCTACCTGCCTCGGCCTCCCAAAGTGCTGGGATTACAGGTGTCATCTACCACGCCTGGCCTCCATATACCAGCTTTCTTTAGGTTAGTATCTGCATGGTTTATCTTTCTCTTTCATCCTTTTATTTTCACCCTTTTCTTGTGATTTTTAGTTGTATTTTCTGTAAGTGGCATGTAGTTGGAATTTTTTTAAGTCCTGCTATGAAATATCGCGGATATATTTGGTCTATTTTTATTTGTAATTACTGCTATATTTAGACAGTTCTACTATCTAATTTTGTGTTTTCTGTTCAACACTCCTCCCACCCCCAATTCTTTTCCTGCCTTCTATTAGTCAAGTTTTCCACAGTCTCTCTCCCTTGTTTCTCTCCCTGCTGTTTGTGGTGGCCCCCTACATTTTTAAAAATATAATTTAAAATTTTTTTTAGAGATAGGCTCTCATTCTGTCTGTCACCCAGGCTGGTGTGCAGTGACATGGTCATAACCCACAGAAGCCTTGAACTCCTGAGCTCAAGAAATCCTCTGACCTCAGTCTCCCAAGTAGCCGCTGCACCTGGGCAAATGTATTGAATTATATAAGTAATTATTATGTATAATTACAAGTAATAATTACACAATTATTAAGATGTTTAAAAATTTTAAAAAGAAAGGCTGTGCACATTGGCTCACGCCTATAATCCCAGCAGTTTGGGAGGCTGGTGGATCGCCTGAGGTCAGGAGTTCGCGATCAACCTGACCAACATAGCCAAACCCCGTCTCTACTAAAAATACAAAAATTAGCTGGGCATGGTGGCGCATCCCTGTAACCCCAGCTACCTGGGAGGCTGAGGCAGGAGAATCACTTGAACCTGCGAGGCGGAGGTTGCAGCGAGCCAAGGTCGCGCCATTGCACTCCAGCCTGAGTGACAAGAACAAAACTTTGTCTCAAAAAAAATTAAAAAGAAAAAATTAGTCTGGGCATGGTGGCTCATGCCTCTAATCCCAGCACTTTGGAAGGCCAAGGGAGGAGGATCGCTTGAGGCCAGGAGTTTAAGACCAGCCTGGGCAACATAGCAAGACCCTGTCTCTACAAAAAAATTTTTTTTTAAATTAGCCAGGTGTAAAAGGCCAGGTGCAGTGGCTCACGCCTGTGATCCCAGCACTTTGGGAGCCCGAGGTGGGCAGATCACAAGGTCAAGAGATTGAGACCATCCTGGCCAACATGGCAAAACCCCATCTCTACTAAAAATACAAAAAATTAGCCGGACGTGGTGGCAGGCGCCTGTAATCCCAGCTACTCGGGAGGATGAGGCAGGAGAATCACTTGAACCCGGGAGGCAGAGGTTGCAGTGAGCCGAGATCACGCCATTGCACTCCAGCTTGGGCAAAAAGAGCAAAACTCTGTCTCCAAAAAAAAAAAAAAAATAGCCAGGTGTGGCAAAGCCTATCTGTAGTCCCAGCTACTTGAGAGGCTGAGGTAGGAGTATCATTTGAGCCCAAGAATTGGAGACTGCGGTGAGTCATGATCATGCCACTGCACTCCATCCTGGGCAATAGAGTGAGACCCTGTCTCTAGAAAAAAAAAATAAAAAAAATATATATATATATATAAAAATAAATAAAATAAAATATATGTACTTTGACCCGATAATTTTTATTTCCATAATTTTTTTCAATCCTACTCCTTCTGTATATTTTTATAATTTTATGTTCAGGAAGTGAACAAAGATGTGTCCAGAAATTTATGTCCAAGGATTTTCATTAGAATAATTTATAATAACCAAAATAGGAACTAATATTCACCAGGTGAATGAGACAGTACTATATAACGAATAAAATTACAGTTTTGAAGGATATATAGTGAAAATGCTCCAAAAGAGGGAAAAAAGCAGAAATACAAAATTGCACACATAATTTTGGACACATCTAAATAAATTTCTGGACACACTACATAAATAATTTCTGTAAGTGTCTATCTTAATGAATGCTGAAAGTCATTGAAAGATTAGGGCATCTCAGTATATGGGCCATGTAGGCAGCATGATATGGGAAATCCTTGTAACTTGGTAACTATTACAAGTAGACAAATCAAGTGTGATTGGACTACAATGTTCTCTCTCAGTTTTTTCCTAAATATTTTTTTCTTTATTACAGTCTTCAAAATTTTCATTTTATTCTGTGATCTTACACATCCATTTTGTTTGATGGTAAATTTCCTTTAAAAATTATAGTTGGAGGCTGGGCACAGTGGCTCACGCCTGTAATCTCAGCACTTTGGGAGGCCGAGGCGGGTGGATCATGTGGTTAGGAGATCGAGACCATCCTGGCCAACATGGTGAGACCCCATCTCTACTAAAAATACAAAAATTAGCCAGATGTGGTGGCACGCACCTGTAATCCCAGCTACTCGGGAGGCCGAGGCAGGAAAATAGCTTGAACCCAGGAGGCAGAGGTTGTGGTGAGCCGAGGTGGGGCCACTGCACTCCAGCCTGGCAACACAGCAAGACTCCATCTCAACAAAAAAAAAAAAAAAGAAAGAAAGAAAAAGAAAACATTGTAATTGGGCCGGGCGAAGTGGCTCACTCCTGTAATTCCAGCACTTTGGGAGGCCAAGGCAGGTGGATCACTTGAGGTCAGGAGTTCAAGACCAGCCTGAACAACATAGTGAAACCATGTGTCTACTAAAAAAACAAAAATTAGCCAGGCGTGGTGGCAGGTGCCTGTAATCCCAGCTACTTGGGGGCTAAGGCAGGAGAATCACTTGAACCCAGGAGGCAGAGGTTGCGCTAAACCGAGATTGAACCATTGCACTCCAGCCTGGGCGACAGAGTGAGACTCCATCTCAAAAAAGAAAAAAAAAAAATTATAGTTGGGCTGGGTACGGTGGCTCACACCTGTAATTCCAGCACTTTAGGAGGCTGAGGTGGGTGGATCACTTGAGGTCAGAAGTTCGACACCAGCCTGGCCAACATGATGAAACCCCATCTCTACTAAAAATACAAAAATTAGGTGAGTATGGCAGTGGGAGCCTGTAATCCCAACTACCCAGGAGGCTGAGGCAGGAGAATTGCTTGAACCCGGGAGGCAGAGGTTGCAGTGAACTGAGATCGTGCCACTGCACCCCAGCCTGGGCGATAGAGACTCCATCTCAAAAAAAAAAAAAATCATAGTTGGATTTCCTGTTGAAATAATGCTGCATAATATTTACTCAATAATATTCTATGGTGATTGTTCTGCCTCAATTCTCTTTATCAGTTAAAGCTTGGTTATCACAGGTGTGTTTATGTCTTTAAAGTCGTGTAGGTTCTTTTTCTTTTCTTTTCTTTTTTTCTTTTTTTTTGAGATGGAGTTTCACTCTTGTTGCCCAGGCTGGAGTGCAATGGTGTGATCTCAGCTCACTGCAACCTCTGCCTCCCAGGTTCAAGCGATTCTCCTGCCTCAGGCTCCCAAGTAGCTGGGATTACAGGCATGAGCTCCCACACCCGGCTAATTTTGTATTTTCCATAGAGACGGGGTTTCTCCACTTTGGTCAGGCTGGTCTCGAACTCCTGACCTCAGGTGATCCGCCTACTTTGGCCTCCCAAAGTGCTGGGGTTACAGGTGTGAGCCACTGCACCTGGCAAGTCATGTAGGGTCTGACAATGAATATAAAAGGGGTTCTTTACATAAAAGTTTGTGAAGATATTAGCTTAGAGAGGCAAGTTAATTATGGTACTCAGAGATAAACAGGCACATCCTTTTATGTATATCTAGTGAAGTCAGTTGCTGTAATCTATTCTGTTTAAAAACCGAACTATACTAGGTCTGAATAACAAGATAATGTACATTTCCCCTAGAAGGTGGGAACGACAACTCACGCCTGTGTGCCATTCCTTGTTTTCTTCTTCTGACAGTGATTGTACCTCCGAAATGACCTAACTCAGAGGAATTTGGGCATAGTGTACTAGCACGTACTAGGTTGCTTCCCATGAAACATCCCTGTCTGTGTTGTACATTTGAGGTAGTAGCAACATGATTAAGAATGTGGACTGTAAACGGCCAGGCGTGGTGGCTCAGGCTTGTAATCCCAGCACTTTGGGAGGCCGAGGCGGGCAGATCACAAGGTCAGGAGACCATCCTGGCTAACGCAGTGAAACCCTGTCTCTACCAAAAATACAAAAAATTAGCTGGGTGTGGTGGCGAGTGCCTATAGTCCCAGATACTCGGGAGGCTGAGGCAGGAGAATGGCGTGAACCCGGGAGACAGAGTTTGTAGTGAGCCAAGATTGCGCCACCGCACTCCAGACTGGGCGACAGGGCGAGACTCCATCTCAAAAAAAAAAAAGAAAAAACTAAAAAAAAGGAAAAAAAAGGCCGGGCGCGGTGGCTCAAGCCTGTAATCCCAGCACTTTGGGAGGCCGAGACGGGCGGATCACGAGGTCAGGAGATCGAGACCATCCTGGCTAACACGGTGAAACCCCGTCTCTACTAAAAATACAAAAAACTAGCCGGGCGAGGTGGCGGGCGCCTGTAGTCCCAGCTACTCGGGAGGCTGAGGCAGGAGAATGGCGTAAACCCAGGAGGCGGAGCTTGCAGTGAGCTGAGATCCGGCCACTGCACTCCAGCCTGGGCGACACAGCGAGACTCCATCTCAAAAAAAAAAAAAAAAAAAGAAAAAAAAGAATGTGGACTGTAGAGTCAATCAGATGGCTCTGGGTTAAAATCTCAGCCAGCTCTACTACCTACTAGCTATTTGAGACTGATGAGTTTCCTCATCTATTTATTTTTTTAAAAAACAGTAATAACAGTACTTGATTCACAGGGTTATTAACATTGAGATGATGCATGTGGACTGTTTTGCCAGTTTTCTGGCATCCCATAGTGAGTGTTGTAGCTACCGTGAGCATTGTGTGTTATAATCACAGGGAGTAAGTAGGACATATGAAAGCAGGGGCCATGATAGGGGGCCAATCCAGAGAGGTTCGTGGGTTACGGGAAGAAGACAGATAAGGCTATAGCATGAAGCATATTAGTGCGAGGAAGGATTTAAGGTGAGGAGGCCAGATCTGAAAGTAATGAAACAGCTCCAGTGCAAGTGTTTCATAACTGATTCTCTTTGATTCTTCTAGAGAGCCATGTCCTGCCACCGCAGCCAGCTCCTCTGGTTCCGCCGCCTCTACATTCTCTTCTCCCGGTACATGAGAATCAACTCACTGAGCTTCCTCTGAAGCCTTGAAGGGTTTTCAGATCCAAGGAACAAAGGGGAAAATAGACAAAGGTGTGCAGGGGACCTGGCCTGGCACTGGCTTATTTGCCTGAGCTCAAGGAGATCCCCACTGGAGCAGCCTCTGCAAAAGGGAGCCCATGTAGGCCAGGGGCTGTCCAAACTCCAGCTTCTTCCCCTGGGAAAAAACCCAAAGAACCAAAAACAAACCACCCCAAGGATAATAATAGCTACCCTGCTAGCTTCTCAAGTTCTTGTGAATCACAATTTACATAATGACACAGTATATGTGGAACACCTAGCCCAGTGTCTGGGCAGGTCCCTATTATCATAAATGAATGTAAAAGTGCTCTAAAAACACTCCACAGATGTGACTTTTACATTGTTTCCAAAGTAAGGTCACCAAAAACACATACATAAAATGCAACAGTGTGTGTTGAATTGGTTCAATCATAATTCATTTGATTTTTCTTTTATCAGAATGCGGGTCTAGGAAAAACTTGCCCTATTTAACAGCACAGCTGTTGACTGAAGCATCCAAGTACCAGTCACTGGGGTGGGCACTGTTTTATACAGAGACGATTACAAGGGCTCTGCCCCAAAGAGCTTACAATCAAATATGTCAGCTCTCAGTCTTTTTGGAGAAGTAGGAAATAGGAAGATAAATCTGAGACTTAAAAAAACACAAAAGATTCAAGAACCCACTGTCTTAAAATTGTCCTACAAACAAAAGCACTCTGAAAGCTCTGGCTTGGAAACTACTCTCAGAATCCAGCTAATGGTCCGGGGAAGTGGCCTGAGGCAGGGAAGCTCAGTGGTGAAGAGCACAGGCTGGTAGCCCTGTGATTGAAGCCAGAATGATCAGCTGTGTAACCAAAGGCAAGGTGCTGAACCTTTCTCTGCCTCAATTCTCCCACCTGCAAAATGGGAGATAACAACGATCCCAACCTCAGAGAACTGAACCAGATAATACATGAAGGTGCATATCGAGGAGTCTCCCATGCTCTGCTGGGTAAGTATTCCCTCCACCTGCCACAGGAAACACTGAATTGCTTCTCCATAGCTGCAGGTTAGAGACCTGCTTGTTCAGACTCTCTACCTCAACTTGCCCCCACTTTGCTTAGTGTCATCATTATCTTGAATGCCTCCTAGGGGCCATATAAGACTAATAGAGCTATTAGGCCCTGAAGCTGGAATCAAAAATGCAAATGTGGTTATGTGATTTGTCTACTTAAACTTTGTCAGTAGCTCCTAATAGGCTTCATGTGAAAGTGTGACCAGAAGCACGTTACTAACACTGGCTAGAGTGCAGTAGGAGAGTGTGGTAGGACAGGCTGACTTCTGCCCTGTTACTAGGAAGACAGACACTGACCCAGCCTTTCTGAACAGCAACTCTGCTCAGAGCTTTTAAAATATGCATACTCTATGAACTAAGGAATACTTAGAAAATCAAAATTATATACGCACAGGCTGGGCGCAGTGGCTCACACCTGTAATCCTAGCACTTTGGGAGGCCGAGGTGGGTGGATCACTTGAGGCCAGGAGTTCGAGACCAGCTTGGCAACGTGGCAAAACCCCGTGTCTACTAAAAATATAAAATTAGCCAGGCATGGTGCCGCGGGCCTGTGGTCCCAGCTATTCAGAAGCACAAGAATTGCTCGAACCCAGAAGGCGGAGGCTGCAGTGAGCCAAGATCGCACCACTGCACTCCAGCCTGGGTGACAGAGCGAAACTCTGTCTCCAAAAAAACAACAATAATTATATACACAAGATCATCATTGTATTATTTATAATAGCAAAACTGGAAAAATCCAGTGATGCAATTGTGTTTTCTAACAAGGAAGAACGTTCACACCGTATTAAATTTTTAAAAGGGTTAGGAATAGCACAATCCCATTTTTGTTGAATAAATATATACACAAGTATACAAATAAATAAATACATATATATCAAAAGATATATATCCAAAAGATAAATACTAGCTGGCAAGGTAATCTTTCAACAATGAACATTTATAATTGTAGAGGACTTTGTTATTGTTTATGGATCATTTGGATGGGAGAATTTTGATATCATGTGAAGTTTTTAAAAAGTGCATTTATAGGCCTGGCCGCGGTGGCTCACGCCTGTAATCCCAGCACTTTGGGAGGCCGAGGCAGGCAGATCACAAGGTCAAGAGATCAAGACCATCCTGGCCAACATGGTGAAACTCCGTCTCTACTAAAAACACAAAAATTAGCCGGGCGTGGTGGCGAGCGCCTATAGTCCCAGCTACTCAGGTGGCTGAGGCAGGCGAATCACTTGAACCTGGGAGGCAGAGATTGCAGTGAGCTGAGATCGCACCACTGCACTCCAGCCTGACAACAGAGTGAGAGTCCATCTCAAAGGAAAAAAAAAAAAGCGTGTATAGGCCGGGTGCAGTGGCTCACACCTGTAATCCCAGCACTTCGGGAGGCTGATGCAGGGGGATTACTTGAGCTCAGGAGTTTGAAACCAGCCTGGGCAACATAGTAAGACACCATCTTTTTTTTTTTTTTTTTTTTTTTTTTTTTTTGAATCATCTGTAGCTAGGACACCTATGCAAGCCTTTACCATCTTTATAATACAAAAAATTTAAAAATTACCCAGGCTTGGTGGTGGGTATGTATAGTCCCAGCTACTCAGGAGGCTGAAGAGGGAAGATCACTTGTGCCCAGGAGGTTGAGGCTGCAGTGAGCCATGATCATACCACTGCACTCCAGCCTAGGCCACAGAATGAGACCCTGTCTCAAAAAAAAAAAAAAAAATATATATATATATATATGTATATTTATATGTATAAATCTTAGAGGTTAGAAAGATGAACAAAATTATTATTATTATTATTATTATTTTTTTTTTTTGGAGACGGAGTCTCGCTCTGTCGCCCGGGCTGGAGTGCAGTGGCCGGATCTCAGCTCACTGCAAGCTCCGCCTCCCTGGTTTACGCCATTCTCCTGCTTCAGCCTCCCGAGTAGCTGGGACTACAGGTGCCTGCCACCACGCCCGGCTAGTTTTTTGTATTTTTTTTAGTAGAGACGGGGTTTCACCGTGTTAGCCAGGATGGTCTCGATCTCCTGACCTCATGATCCGCCCATCTCGGCCTCCCAAAGTGCTGGGATTACAGGCTTGAGCCACCACACCCGGCCGAACAAAATTATTAATATTGCTTCTGGATGGTGAGATTTGAAACTTATTTCCTGCCTTTTTTGTTTGTTTGTTTATTTTGTTTTTTGAAATAGAGTCTCGCTCTGTCGCCTAGGCTGGAGTGCAGTGGCACACTGCAAGCTCCGCCTCCCGGGTTCACGCCATTCTCCTGCTTCAGCTGCCTGAGTAGCTGGGACTACAGGCTCCTGCCACCACACCCGGCTAAATTTTTGTATTTTTAGTAGAGATGTGGTTTCACCATGTTAGCCAGGATGGTCTCAATCTCCTGACTTCATGATCCGCATGCCTCGGCCTCCCAAAATGCTGGGATTACAGGCGTGAGCCACTGTGCCCAGCCTTCCTGCCTGTTTTGTTTTACTGTACATTCCACTTTTTTGAAATAATTAAGTAAAAATAGGCCGGCACGGTGGCTCACACCTATAATCCCAGCTACTTGGGAGGCTGAGGCAAAATTGCTTGAACCTGAGAGGTAGAGGTTGCAGTGAGTCAAGATCACACCACTGCACTCCAGCCTTGGCGACAGAGGGAGACTCTGTCTCAAAATAAATAAATAAATTAATTTAATTTAATTTAAAAAATAAAAAAAGAGGGTTGCTGCATCTGAGACTGCAAGTTCTACTCTGGGTTCAGGAAAGAGGACAGACCAGAACTAGGCTCTCCTTGGTACCAGCAGAGAGCCAAGGGACCGCAGCACAGGAGGGAAGGAAGCCCCTGGAAGCCAGTTAGGGCAGCCACTACCAGTGCCTTGGTGAGGAAAGTACCCTCCAGATGCAATGCAGCCCTGGGGACACTTGTCCTAGCAAGAAAAGAGTGTCCTTGTGCAAATTATCAAAAGGTAGTCTTTCCTGCAGGCAACACATTCCCTCCCCAGGGACAGCCACCAACAGCCTTGTAGAGAAGGAGCAGAGACTTAAGCATCCACTTAACCGGATGCCCTTGTTTGGTTAACAACTTGCAGAACTAGGCAGCAGTAGCGCCGAAGCCTGGAGCAAAAATCAGAATCTCATGGTTCCTTGAAGGAACACCAAAAAAAAAAAAAAAAGAAAGAAAGAAAAAGAAAAAAAGAAAAAGAAAGGAAGAGAAGAGAGAGAATTCTTTCCTCCAACTGCCCACATAGAAAGGATCTCAGTGAACTAAGAATCCTCTGGGAGGGGCAGCATCCACTTGCTCAGAGGCCTGGAGAGCAGCCAGGCCGGGGTGTGTGTGCTGAAATCAGGAGAGGGTCACCCCTTGTCAGAGAGACCTGCAAACCATCCCCCACCCACATCCTCAGCAAGGGCTGACGGTTTGCCAGTTCTCACCTCGGTCCAGAGAGCAGAAACCACTCCCCACTTGGCCACTACTCAGCAGCCCTGACTCATTAAGGAAACACAAAAACCGAGAGCAACCAGACACAACAGAAAAGGGGAACCCTGACCTGAGGAGGCTCAGACGGAGGGGAATAGGGCAGATCTCACTGACGTAGCAATTAAATGGAAGAGACTTTATCAGAAATAGTAGGGAAAGCCCGGGCACTGACCCAGACGAAAAAGCATGCTTCTCCATGGTGACCAAATTAGTAATGTGGAACATCAAGCAGAAGATAGATTGCAGAACAAAGAGGTAAAAAAGCCAAGAAATAGAAATAAGGGTGGGAAAGAGATTTGAAAACACATTAAGGAGAGCCTTAATGGATGAATGATTTCCATGAATAATGGAAGTTTCAGAAGGAACAAAAGCAGGAGGGTAATACAGGAGAACTTCCATAATCTCAAGAAGACTGAGTACACTAAAAGAGCCCGCCAAATCCTAGGCAGCTTTGATTTTTAAAACAGAAGCACAAATATGCTATGAAATTCCTAAGTTCCCAGTGAGAAGGGGGAGATTAAAGTATTCAAAAGGTCTCCTCTGGGGGCCAGGCACCATGGCTCACACCTGTAATCCTAGCACTTTGGGAGGCCGAGGCAGGCAGATCACTTGAGGTCAGGAGTCTCTACTAAAAATACAAAAATCAGCTGGGTGTGGTGGCACATGCCTGTAATCCCAGCTACTCGGGAGGCTGAGGCAGGAGAATCACTTGAACCCAGGAGGCAGAAGTTGCAGTGAGCCGAGATTGTGCCATTGCACTCCAGTCTGGGCTACAGAATGAGACTCTGTTTCAAAAAAAAAAAAGAAACCAGGCCAGGTGCAGTGGCTCATGCCTGTAATCTCAGCACTTTGGGAGGCCAAGGCGGGCGGATCATGAGGTCAAGAGATCAAGACCATCCTGGTCAACATGGTGAAAC